TACAGGACGAGACCAGGCTGGTCACGTAATCGACAGCAAACAAAAGCAGAAATGACCAGACACAGCAGGAGAGGCTGAAACCTGGACCAGGTGCAGTGTATCACTCAGGATGTCACATTTTATAAACTCCAGAAGGCAGACACAGAACAGAATGAGTAACTCTTACCCAGGGAGAAAACACTATACAGAAATTCTCTGAGACCCACATGTGGAACCTACAAAGTCTGCAAGGAAGCTCTGATGAAGATGTCCAAAGAACTGAGAAAACCACATCTGAAAAGTTAAAAGAAAAGGTCATGGCAATGACTCCTTCAGAAAAGAATATCAACAGAAGTAGAAATTCTGCAAAGAAATCAAATGGAAATTATGAATTTGAAAAGCACAATACCCAAAAAGAAAAAAAAATCCTCTCAACTAAAGATTTGGATGGGCAGAATAAAGAATCAGAAAACTGAAGATAGATCCAAAGAAAATTTTCAATCTGAAGAGTAAATGTAAAAAAGAATGAAAAAAATGAGCAGTGCCTCTAAGACATGCAGATACCACCAGGAGAACAAAGACACATTCAACAGGAGCCTCTGAAGGGGACAGAGAGTGGCAGAAAAATATATGATGAAATAATAGATGAAAACTTACCAAACTAATAAGGAACCTGCATGCCAAGAAGCTCAACAAATTTAAAATAAGACAAGCACCAAGAGATCCACCCGCAAACCTGTCATAGTCAGATTGTTGGAAAACAAAGAAAAGGAAAATTTTGCAAGCACAAGAGAAAAGAGAAAAACACTCACCATGCATGAGGGACCACAGAGAGATTAACACTGGCTTCTCATGAGAAAGCACGTATGGAAAAAGTCACAAAATGGCATCTTCAAAGTTCCAAAGAAGAAAACAGCTCTCAACCAAGATTCCTGCAGTCAGCAAAACACCCTTCAAAGATGAAAGCAAAATAAAGACGGCCAGATGAAGAAATCTTGAGAGAATTTGCTGCTAGCACAGGGCCCTGATATTACAAGCTGAGGGTGAGCTTGATGCAGCGCAGAGTGGGCAATAATTGATATTTACAAATTGGTGCAAGAATAAATTGCGAGTCTGTCCTAGGCCTGCAAGACTTGTGGTGAGACCCCAGGCTGGCTTACAGACAAGTTAATCTTTAAGCCAATGGCCAGAGCTGAGACTAGTGAGTGGTCTGTGAAGTTCTGGTGCCTCAAGCAAGGTAAGCCAGCTGAGGACTTCGACTTGTCCAAATTCCTTCTGACTCAGCAGTCTCAGTTCGCAGGTAATCAGGTTACTAGCTGCTGACCTGCTCTCCTGTGCTTTCCCAAAACTGCATTGTTCCTTAATCCTCGGACCTTGACCACATCAGCAGTTCACCCCCACTACTTCCTGCAGCCAGCAGCAGACCCCCATTCTTGCTGTGCACCTCATAAAAGCCAGGGACACCGAGCCTCATGGTCTTAGTCCTTATCGGGCTTTGATCATCCAGGTGCCCTTTGTAACTAAAATAAATACCTTGTCTGTGCTTTATTCCACCCTTGTACCCCTGAGCAGGAGATCAGGGTCCTCGGCCAGGACCCTGATATTACAAGAAACAGGACAGGAAATCTTTCAGGCTAAAGGGGAACAACACCCGTGTTAGCTCGAAAGTATGTAAGAAATAATGTGCAGCATGAGGCTCTCGGGTAAGCAAATGTGAGCAACACAAGTTTTCTTCTCTCTCTCTGAATTTAGTTTACATACAGACTGAACACCATGATAGGAAACGGTACTGTTGCACTTACAACACAAATACACCTCATATACAACAACGGCAACCTGAGGCAGAGGGGCAAAGCTGCGTTAGAGCCAAGTGTCCATATTCTGCCAGAATGCAGTTGGAGTTAACACAGACTGTCTAAGCAAATATGAACAGCACACTCCTCACAGCGCTGTTCTCCTAAGGCAAAAACATTAAAATGGGGGGAAGCGGCACATTAGAAAAGCTCTGTTTTACACGAGAAGGTATAAAAGGAAAAAATAGAGGAAAACAACAAAACACATGAGCCTGGAGAAAACAGCAGGACTGCAGAAGCAGATCCAATCACTCACTGCCCACTCCAGTGCACACTCCACATCAGCCACTGTTCAGATGGACTAAGACAAAGCAAGGGAAACGGGTCTGTATGAGGCTCCCACGCTAGCTTCTGTAATGGTTGATACATTGTGCCAACTTGAGAAGTCTAGAAGCTTAACTAAGGGGCTCAGCAGCTCTATATCCTAGGGTGTAGAGGACACGCCCCTATCACTCTAGCACATTGTTCACTGTGTTCACTTGAGAAGTTTTGACATTTGACTAAGTGTGTAAAAGGCAGGCACGGAGACGGTGTGAGTGCTGCACCCACCCTAGGGGACGCGAGCCTGCTTACCGTATAAGGGAGGAAAGAGGCTTGCTTTCTGTCCCTTCTGCTCTTGCTGCTTTTGCTGTCTTCTGCTGCCATGCACACAGTTTCCCTGTGCCCTGTCACCCAGCCTTGGGGCCAGCTGACTATGGACTGGAACCTCCACAAAATGTGAGCTAGATGAACCTTCCTCTCCTTAATTTTGAGCATCAAGTATTTTGTCTCAGCAATGAGAGAAAAGTAACCAGACAGCTTCAAAGACACCAACACTGTAAAGCAAATATTGAAAAATCAAACCAGGCAAACAGAAATGGACAAGAAAGAGTCACCTGCTAAAGTCAGTGACAAGAACTTGAAAACGTGTTGATGAAGACAGGATTTTCATGATGCTTTGAAGGGTATTCACCAAAAAGGTGTATCACACATGCACACATGCACATGCACACACACACCCCTAACAACAGGGCCTCAAAACACATGAGACAGAACTGAGGGAATGGCGGGAGGAGTTCTGGAGGGTTGGTTCCCAAATGGCCCCACTGCCTCGATTGTTGGGAAGGTGACTGAGGCCAGGTTGGTCTGGCCGGGAGGCCCAGGTCCGGGGTGTGACTCGGAAGGGTTTATCTCCTGGCAGTGGCCGCTGCACTCTCGCGCCCAGCCTGGACCTGGTGGATCCACTTCAGCATTTCGAGGCACGTGGATGATGTGACTTGAGTGGTGGCCCTCTCTTTCCAGCAGGTGAGGGCTGGCCTCTGTGTGACCAGCGCCTCAAGGAGAGACCGAGCATGAGGGACACAAGCCCAAGAGCCACTCGACAGCACCACCCAGGGGTGATGCAGGCCGGTGCTGGAGTCACCATCCAGGACTCCGTGACTGAGCGGGTCCCATCACTGGCACCATCACCCAGACACACCCATCCAGGCCTGTGCCCCAGTGCCTCACTGCTGGCACGGGACACACATCCACAGAGTGGCCTCCTTTGAGGTCCCCATCTCCCAGGGCCCAAGGGAAGCTGGACCCAGCCCTGGTCCCAGCCATTCCAGAGAAGGCCTGGAGGCCCGGAGGGGCAGAATCTCTAGACGGCCATTCCGGAGCCCTTTCCTAACCCTAAACCCCCAGCAGAAAGTGAGGGAACCTGTGGAGGACATTCTTTGATTAAAATGCATTGAGCACACAATGATTTGTTTATTACTTGTTAGAGTTTCTTAAGATAAGGCTTCATTATACAGCCCAGATTAGCCTTGAGTGTAGGATCTTCCTGTCTCACCCTCTTGAGTGCTGGGATTACAGGTGTGTTTGGATTACATGTGGAGAAGGGTAATCCTTTAATTATCCTTGCTAAAATGTTTGATATCCACCCACTTATACTAGCTACGCCTTTGGTTCTTGCTCAATAAAAGGTGACTGGGATTGGTAATCGAGGCTGCAGGCCGAGAGGCTGTCAGCCTCTGATCCCAGACTTTTGCCTCTCTTGGCTTTTTTTCCTCTCTTTACTTTTCTTATTCATCCACTGGCACCTCATTCTCGGGACCTGACACACCGGATAGAAGGACAGGGACCCACGGGAAAGGCAGGCTGAGAGCCAGCGCAGGGCGCCAGTGGCAACACCTTCTCATCCTGGCCCACTCCATCCTCACCTGGCCCATCGCCTGGCTCCCCTCTCCTGTGCTGACCTCTCCTGGATATGTGGCCTCTCCCTAGCAGCCCTGACTCCCTCTGCAGCGTGGGGCATTGCCTGCCCAGCTCCAGGCAATGCCGCTCCCCAGGGTCACCGTCAACCATGGCACCCCAGGCAGCACCTTCCCCAGCCGTGGTAGGGCTAACATGAGTTCCACTGTGCATTGTTTTCAAATTCCTGTTTTTCATGAAAGCACAAGCTCCTGAGTGTTACCTGATTTACCCAGCTAGCAGTTCTGGACGGTGCACCTGGTCCCCTGCTGCACATGTAGTGTTAATATTTTGTGTGTGTTTTTTCGTTTTTTTCCGGTACCGGGAATTGAACTCATGACCTTGCGCTTGCCAGACAGGCGCTGTGCCACTGAGCTAAATCCCCAGCCCCGCCAGTTGTAGTGTTATGCTACTGAAGGTCCAGGCATTCTGAGCGCTACCTGCTAGTGGAAGGCAGGTATTATGAAACTCTATTTAGGAACAGTCATTTTAGAAAGTAGACAATTACACCCGGAAAGACTGTCTTTGCCTGACATAGTATAACTAATAGTGACCACAATCAGTGCACTTTAATTTCATGTTGCAGCATAAATGCATAGAAGAAAAATCAAAATTTAAGTCCTAGAGCATGCTCCTTTCGAGCTATTGCTCCATTCCCCACATTTCTATGTGTTCACAGGAGTTCCTATGGAAATTACCAGAACAAGGTACTCAGGGCCAGGTTTCATTAAGGTATAGTTAAGTAGTTTTTCTGAACAGTGGCCTTAAAATAATCAGCAATTGTACTGTTTTACTTTACAGCATTCATAGTTAGTTAATTCTCTCACTCAGGTTTCCACACTGCAGAAAATGAGATGCATTTTTTAAAATTCCAAATCTCTGTAAAGAAAACAAGCCAGGCATGGCAGCACACACCTCTAATCCCAGCACTGGGGAGGCTGAGGCAAGAGGATCACTGCAAGTTCCAGGCCAGCTTGAGCTACACAGTGAGATCTTGCCTCAAAAGAAAAGAAACATAAATGGATCATATTCATGAGTTTGAGGACTCGGCCAGGTCTTGTTCACAACAGACATGTAGGAAGATTCAAAGAAAACGGAAGGAAAGCACATCAGGCCAACAGGGACACGAACCAGTGCAGCTATACTCACAGCAGGTGAAATGGAGTTTAAGCCAGAACTTACTAGGGATAAAGAGATAATACACCGTGATAAAAGAAGCAATTAGTCAATAAATATGATGATCCTAAATTAGTATGTACTTAAAAATATAACCCCAAGTCAAAAACACAAAAATTAATGGAAGTTAAAGAGAAAGGACACATTCACAATCCCGGTGAAGACGTGAATATCCTCTGGTTCTGATCTCAGCCCTGCTCCAGGTGGTCACTGCAGCCCAGAGCCCCTCTCTCATGCCCTCAGCCCCAGGGGACACGGTCAGGCCAGGGTGGACAGACAGCTCTGGAGGGTGACCTGCCACCTCAGCTTCCACCCACAGCAGCTGCCAGACCCCCAAGGCCTCCTGTCACATCTGCTGCCCAAGCTTCTCCTCACCCCAGTCCCATGGCTTTGGCCACTGGCACAGCAGGGACTGCTGCCTGCCTTCCTGGAGGACACCAGTGCCCTCCCATGGTGGGCAGTGTGCCCAGCAGCCAAGCGGGAGCCCAGCCACCTGCCCTGGAAGACAGGGTGCAGCAGGAGGAGGAATGTTCCACACAGTGGTGAGCTGCAAGCACTTGATAAGACCCCAGATCAGGTCCTCTTTCCGGGGTGAGTGCGTGTGGGTCCCTCGAGAGCCTGCGGTTCTGTGACCTGGGACATGGTGATGCCATCCACATGTACCCTGAAGTGGCTTTCTCTGGTGTTTGGAAACAGAATTCCACATTTGGGTCCACATTTGAGGGAATGGCTACAAGATCTTGGTCTTCCCCAGGACCTGCATGAACACACACACACACACACACACACACACACACATGACACACATGCACACGCACACACACACACATGCACATGCACACACACACACATGCACACAGCACGCCTGTGCAGTCACTTGGCACAAGGGCATAAGCAGGAGCAGGTACCCTGCAGTTTGCCATTCCTGGGACCCCGGTGTCCACCTACACAGAGCTCACCTCCCCTTAACCACGCCCAGCACAGCCGTCTTACCCACAAGCTCCAGGGTCAGCCCCACCTCCTCCACTACTATGAGAGGAACAAGGTTCCCAAGGGAGCCTCGTACCGGGACTCCGTGTGGTTGCACTCATTTCTCCCGGAGGAGCTGGGCAGGCTGAGGGGCAGCAGGCCCATGGCCACGACTCCCTGGGGTGTCACGGGGCTTGCAGGTCACTGCTTGCAGGAGCAGAGGGTTCTGTGCAGGGGCTGCGCACTGTGGGGAGGGAGTCCGCCCATCCCGTGGGTGACACACTCGGGTCCTTGGACCACGCTCTCTCCTCGCCTGTGGGGGGAGGCTACTCTGCCGGTCAGAGCTCCTGCTTCTCACCTCACATACCCTCAGGACTTCAAAGCTCTGTCCTCCATACTGGTTAGACGTATTTCTGCGTCTTTCGTGTGTCTTGGTTGAAAAATATCCAGAAGGCCGATGTGTGGCTCAGAGCTCGAGGGCTTGCCTAGCACAGGAGGGAAGGATGTGGAAAGGGAGGGAGAGAGGGAGGGATGTGGGGAGGGAGGAGAGAAAGAGGGAATCTAGCACCTTTCTTGCTATCAAAGCAATATATATATGTACAACATAAAAATTTGAAGAACTCAGATAAGCCAAAAGAAAATGGAAATCACCCACACTTAACTACAAGCAGGAACATCAGAATATTTAAGCCTGTTTTTCCAGTCATTTTTTCCCGTGAATCCGAGCACATGCTTTGTTTCTCAGGCGTGGAATCATCTGGCCTTCGCTGTCTGCAGTTTGATTTTTCAATCAGCTGCAGCAGGGGCTCTTTTCTCTGCCCCGCCCTCTCTCGGGACGTGACTTTTTAATGGATGCACACAACAGCCACTGCAGCAGTGCCGCTCCCTGGCAGCTCCAGGGGTCGGACCTGACCTGAGCCTCCCCCATAGGGCCTGGTCAATTGTCTGGTAAGATCCTGCCTGCTGTCCTCCTCCAGGCCTGGTGGCTGCACCCCTCCAGCATCCAGCCCCGTGGTGCCTTGGTCTCTGCCTCATGCACATCCCGTGGCCCGCCGCTGTGTGCCTCTGGGTGTGCGGTCCTCTGTCCTAGGCCCCCTGCCCCGGGACCTCCTCCCCCCTAACTGCATTGCAGAGACCTTGTTTCCAGCACGGACCCTCTGCAGCTGGGCCCGGACTTCCTGAGTGCGATTTGGGGCTGCTGTTCCCACTCGTCCTTTCCCACCCTGGCCCCTTCTCTCATGCTGATGCTGCCTCTGTGTCTCCTTTGGTCAGCCCTGGGGTCGCTGACCCCATGTCCTCCTGTGGCCGCTCCCTCGGACCCTCTCCTCATAACAGACTGTGTGTGCTGTGTCCTGCATCATCACAGAGAGCTGAGGACAAGCAACGTGCTGTCTGCTTGTCCCTTGGCTCCAGCCTGAGTGGCCTCAGCATTGCTGGGGGAAAGACTGTGGAGGCAGCCCCAAGCCAGCACCAGGGGGCACAGGCACGGACACCAGTGCTCCAGACTGCAGAGGAGGGGAACCTTCTCCCTCCGCATGGGTCCCTGGCATGTACCCGCTGTTCTCAGAGGTTTCTGCCCTGAGGCCCGGGGTTCCTGGAACATTGTCCACTCTGACGACAGGGTCAGCCTGGGCCCCTGGGACATTCTCAGAGACCTCAAAGGAGGTCCAGGCCCAGCCTTGGTGGGGAGCAGTCTGAGAAATGGCATCTCCAAGGGGCGCTTCAAACAGCCTCTCCTCACCCAACCTCAGCCATCTCTAGGAACCCCCAGTGCTGACCACTGTCCTGGAGAGTCTAAAGCAGGCCTCACTGGACATCGTGGATGAACGTGTGATGGAGGGACCAAGTCCAGCTGTGGAACTGCAGCTGCTACCAGCCAGGGTTCCTGTCCCCAAGAGGGCCGGCAAGGGGACACTGGTGTTCTCCCCAGCCACACGGTCCACCCTGAGACGGGGATGGGGAAGGCAGGGATGGGAAAGTCCTCCACTGAGGCAGGAACCAGGCCCAGGGCCTCCTTGGACAGGCCAAGGATCCCGCATCCGAAGTGCTGGGACAAGAAGTGTTCATGTCGTTTTGGGGCATGTATGCACATCCAGCAAAAGGGGTCTTGGGAGGGCGACCAAGTGCAGACACAAAACCCACACAGGTTCCTACGCACCTGATACACACGTCTGAGGGTAACTTCGTTGATAATTTTCAGAATTTCCTGCATGAGACATTCTTATGGTATGTCAATGTGTTGGGTTTTGGATTCTTGGGTCGGGGTGCTCACCTCCAATACACAGACACAATTCCAGCTTCTCTGAGGCTCCAGGGGTCAAGTCCCTGTAGAGGGACACAGGGGAGGGGTAGGGGCAAGGTGGTAGTGGCTCTGTAGACTCGGGGTTTGAGGAGGAGACCCCGCAGCCTCACACGTTCCCAGGGAGCAGCTCCCGATCCAGGCTGGATGAACCTCTGGGAGCAGCCTGCAGTGGAGGGAAGGGTGGTGGGCACCACCTGGTAGCCAGCACTGCTGGAGGCCATGGGCTGATCTGTGTCCCCTGAAGATGCTGAAGTCCCAGCCTGGACCAGGGAACGTGACCTCATGTGGACACAGACCCGTGCAGGTGTCGCTAGTGAAGACGGGGTCGCAGGACGAGCCCTCACCAGCAGACTCCTGTGTCCTCAGGAAAGAGCAAACTCAGAGGGAAAGATGGACTGAGCAGAGGAAAGACAAGCGGAAGACATGGTAGACGACACAGAAACCAAAGGAGCGCCAGGTACCGGAACCTTGGAGAGGGCAGGGAGCAGCCTCCCATGCACGGCCACTTGGCCCCCGCCCTGGGACACGTGTCTGCAATGCCAAACGCCCACCCTCCAGCACCCAGGGAGAGAGAGGAAGTCGCGTGCACTGGTCAGGTGTAAGAGCGACTCTGCGGAGTACAGCGCTCTCCTGCCTCGCGTCCAGGTCGCCGGGACTCTCACCTCCATCCCTGGACTGCTGCTTACCACTCGAGCCTTCCTTCAACCTGCCGATCAGGCACAGACCGTGTTCAGGACTCGTCACAGTGGGGGGCGTTGTGTGCATGAACACACGCATGCTATGAGTGCCACGCCGGCCTCCCGACATGCCACCTGCGCAGCTCCTCTGCGTCGGCCACTGCCGTTCCTGGTGACCAGTCCTGCCGGTGACCAACCTGGCAGCGCCTTTTCCTGCAAGGACTGCGCTGGTAACCAACACAGCTCACGTGTGCTTTCTGTATAGCACACATTCGCCCACAGAGGCGCTGATGATCGGGGTCCACAACACGACACCCTGAGGTCAGCAGCGTCTCAGATCCACGAAGGCCCTGCGTTTCCCCGGCAGAGGAGAGTGGCAGCCGAGAGAACCCCACATGGCAGGCCCAGCAGGTGGTCCTCGGCAGACATCAAGGTCCTGGATGCGGCTCCTCCTCTTACTCCTGCTGGCCTTGGCAGAAACATAATTTCTGCACCTTTGTCTCCTCCTGTGAGGTGGGAGCAGAGAGGACAGCCTGTCCTGACAGCGCTCTGGGGCTGCACGTTTGACTGTCAACCGGATTGTCACCCGGGCTGGATTAAGAGGAGCAGGTTAGAGGAGCAAAGCCCACACTTGGTATGTCTATAGGGCATTGCAGAGATGATTGACATGTAGGCCAGCAAACCGGGAGGAGGATCCGCCCCGATTGTTGGTGGCCCTGTCCAATACGCTTGCAGCCTGCCTGGAAGGAAAAGGAGGAGGCCCACCTGAGTTTGAGAAGCTCCGAGCTGCTTGGGCTCCAGCCTTTCAGGTGGGTTCACACCAGGCATGGCGCTCATGGGGGCTGGCAAGTCCCAGGTCTGCAGGGCAGCCCAGAGCTCTGAGGAGGAGCAGGGACCTGCATGCACTGCTGTCAGGGGTCCCGTCCTGCTCAGAGCCTGCTCTTTGTTCACCTGGTCCTTCAGCCATTGGATGTGGTCCACACCAGGGGTGGAGGGGCCCTCCAAGGTCAGCCCGGGGACAGCTCTGGAAGGCTGCTCCCTTGCATCCTAGCTGGGTGTTCTTCTGTCATTCTTCAGTGTTCAGTGACAGAGTCAAATCCACATTGTCCTGCACTGACAAAACCCCAGGTTCGCCAAGCCCCACGAAGCCTGGGTTATGTATGACTCTTGGACATTTGCTAGAAGATCAGTCCTCCCGTGCCCAGAGCTCAGGGAGATTCCCTGGGATACTGACCCTGCAGCCACCGGCCCAGGTCAAGAGTGTGAGCCCAGGGACACATCTACAAGAAGCCACCAGCCCCAGGACAAGATGGAGACCCGAACAGACACCCCAGGGTCCCCTTATGGGCTCAACCTCAAGCCAACCCTCCCAAGAAAGAAAAGAAAGCAGGAAGATGCAGCACAGGCCTATCTGGCCAGCTCTCTGCCTGCTGTGGAGGCAGATGATGTGCTACATAAATAATGAATTAGCTGTGTGTCCTCGTGGAATTGGTTCTTGGAGTGGCTGGCGAAGCAGTTGTGTGATTCCAGGTCACCGCGGGCCGTCAATTCTAGGAGACGCCTGGACAGATCTGTTTGAGGCTCTAGTTATTACTCACCCTCTGAGGAATGTCTTCTCGGGTCTCGCTAATTCTGTCGAGATGTGGCTGAGCATGGGAGAGCGTTTGGATGTGAAAACACCTCTTCCATTGTAAAGGGACCTAAAGGACTGGCCGTCCCAGGGTGCTGTGTCCCTCACATGCCTATTTGGTGTTGAGGGCGCTGTCCTTGCAGAAAGACCCTCTCTCCTTCTGTCTCAGAAGTCCTCAGTGTCCCCACACACAGGCAAGCAGGAGGAGCCTCAAAGAGCTGGAGCAGAGACAGAGCCCGTGGAGGTGTGGTGAGGACCGGGACGGGTGCAGCTGGTCCTGCTTGGGAGCGCAGCATGCACAGCTGCCCTGGCGAAACTCGAGGATCTGGACACAGGTCGAGCAGGGGCCCAGCTTTGTCCCCTCCAAGCCGTGTCCCTGAGTGCTGCTCTGTGAGGTCTGTGCACACCGCACTTGCTGGACAGCTGGGCGCTGCTGGACTGAATGCCACATTCACACCAAGTGCAGACACTCCTCCCTCCCACATCTGAGAAGGCTGCCCTGCCTGGCTTCCAGCCCTCAGCTGGGGTCCCGGCCTCCTCCACGCCACAGGCCCATGCGCCTGGCACCACTCTTGGTCACCCCAGGTCCTGTGGATCAGTGCCTCCCTCCAGCTGATTTTCCCGGCCGAAGGGGTCCTGGAACGCCCACTGGTCTCTTTCCCTCCAGCACCGGCAGTGCAGAGCAGAGTCCTTCGGTGATGAGCAGCTGAGGTTGTTGGCAAGCAGATTCCTCCCAGGATGGAGCAGGTGCCACAGCCCAGCCACACGCAGCCTCTCCCTGGCCTTGGGTCCTTGTACTGTCCTCTGGTCAGGGACAATCTTCTTCCCAGGTCACTTACACCTCGGGGTCAGCACACCGTCCTGGAGCAGTCCCAAGGTGAGCTGGACACTCCCTGCAGTGAGGGTTTGGTGTGGGGCCCAGGGAAAGGCTGGAAGCCACCCAGGGGAGCAGACATGGCTGGGCAGATTCACACACACACCCACATGCACACCCGCACACACGCACGCTGATGCATGCTGACTTCGGCAGGGGCAGGGGTGGTAGTCGTGGTGCTGGCTGCCAGTCAGCCGCACCAGCTCCCTGTCCCTGCCTCTTGGCTGGAGTCAGCCCTCAGGATGAAAGCGCCCCATGCACACCCTACCTCTGAAGAGGGGTCTGTTGTTTGGGAAACGCTCTGCATCGTGCTGAATACTCACGGTAAGCCTGATTCCGCCAATGTCACCTTGCTGTGGACACCAACATTTTGTTATGATTATTTTGGCAGAAAAGTGCTAAACACGGGCTTGTTCTTTACATCGTTGCCTTGAAGATCTTTGCAACAAAGAGACGGCTGACATTAAAATGCCGACGCTCAGACTGAAGAAAATGGAGAAGGGCTCGGTCCTGTTTTTCAGGCCGGGGTCTCCACAGCTGCAGTCTGCAGTGACAGAGGCAGCAGGTCGCCTGGGCCGGGCTGAGTGGAGCTGGGGAAAGGTCTGATCCCTGCAGTGGCACACACACATGCCGATTCACCTCGCACTGGTCCAGCTGTACCCGGGGTGGGTGTGTTTTACCACACATGAAGTTCAGCTACTTACGAGAAGGTCCACTTGCAGCACTTCCCTTACTCCCTCTCCACAACTGACGCGGGGTCCCTTCAGGGCAGGGCCACCTTCCCAAGGTCCCCTGTGCATAGGGTTGTGGGCCCCCAGGGTTCAGGATGGGAGTCCCTTGTCTGTGCCTTGCCATCTTGTCCTGGGGTCGGTCAGCTTGAGGAGCAGGTCTGCCCCTCTTACCACCCTGACTGGGAAAGGGTGCCCGAGGACAGCCCTCTCTGCACTGCTTCTGCCTCGAGAGAGACCAGCTGACACCGAGGGCCACATGAACGCCCCTCCTTCTGGGAGTGTCAGTGACAGGACAGCGGTGCTGACAGCAGGACCACATGCACCGTGCACTGCCCACCCTCCCCCTGCCTTCCCTGCTCCCTCCAGGTGCCTCAGTAAGTGCTGCCCACAGGCGCAGTTGCCCCAAGGGGGACACTGCTGCTCGGTACTGCCCAGTCGGAGCCAGCAGCCTGGGACGAGCTCAGGAATAGGACGGGGAGACTGAAACACAAGCAAGAGTGGAGCGGCCAGACAGCACAGATGCTGCGTCCCAGCATCAGACCCCGGGAGGGAGCGGTCACCCTGTGCCTGAGGCCCTGTGTGCAAAACTGCAGTGTGGGACCCCGGGGCGTCCAGCTTCATCTGCGTGGCGGTTTTCACACACACCCACACCACCAGCTCCTACACCGTGACACTTCCTCCCCAAGCCTGGGGTCGTGAAAAACTCCCTCCAGGGCCAGGGATGCAGCTCAGCGGTGCAGCACCTGCCTGGCAAGTCCAAGGCCCTGAGTTTGATTCCTAGTACCAAAAAAAAAAACGCTCTGGACAGGTGGGTGAGTCAGGCACTGCTCCGGGCCATGATTCCTGTCAGGCCCCAGCTACAGGCCCCCCAAATTGCAGGACCTCAAGAGACCCTGTACCTATCCCTGTCAGGCTGTGAGCACTTCTGGACGCTCTGTCCCCGAGGGGTGGACCTTCACTCCTGTTGCTGACGATAGATCTTGCTCTTGCTGCTCCTTCCAAGTGTCCCGCTCAGTTCTTTGCTCAGGACCGGAAACGGCTTTCCTGTGACCCCATCCCGTCCCAGGACAGTTACCTGCATGACCTGGGGCTTCTCGCATGGCAGGACCAAGGGTGGCTGTGGCTGAGTGTGATAGGGGCGGGAAGAAGCCAGCCTCTGAAAGCTGAAGCAAGGAAGTCTCTCTCCAGGCCCGCTGGGTCCCTGCCCACAGCAGGTGGGCTCAGACTGTAGTGTGGCCTGGCCATCAGGGCCCCAGGTGGGACACTGGATGGGGAAGGCCACTGGCGGGGCCGCCCGAGCCTAGTCACAGCCTCTGTGCGGCGGGACTGTCGCTCCGTCAGGTTGAGGTCGCCCTGTTTGTGTTCTGCTGTTGCTGTTTACTTACAGCAAGAGGCAGTGTTAGCAAGCGGGGGCCCAGCCCTCTCGGCTCTGCAGGAGCTGCAGGAAGCAACCCCACGGGCGAATGGTGTGATTCGCAAACGCAGTTTCAAAGAAACACGGGGCGGCTGCTTATCGCTCAGTCTCAGAACCCGACAGACTGTGTCTAGCTTCTGTCCCAGCAGATCCATCCATCAATCAGTGCGTGTCCTTTGTCAAATCCTGCTCAGCTCTCCCAGCACCCTCTTTGCTGGCTCCCCGCACCCGGGCTCAGGGCAGCCGAAAGCACGTGAGCTGTGAAATTAGCCACACACACGGCTTGTGCCTCGGGAGCCGGAAGGAGCCACGGGCCTGACCGGGCTCGTCCCCTTCGCAGAAGACCTGCTCAAGTCGGAAAACTTCCTATTGTCAACACAAAGTGCAGTTCTTGGGGGAAGACTGAGCAAAATCACTCAATCTGTTTACCGGGGCCCAAGATGGAACAGGAACATGAGGGGTGCAGGAAATGTTCGCACACAGACGGCTCAGAAGAGCGTTGCATTCAAACGCGCAGGAAAACGCGGATGAAATGAGGCTTAGAAACCGCAGAACATGCTCGACCTCCAGTAGACCTTCCCCGAGCGTCTCCCAGGATCAGGAGCAGGAATACGGCTCCCACTGTCCTGTCCCCAAGGGCCTCCGAGGGCCTCCAAGGGCGGGGACTCCGTCCCCACGCGGCAGGTGGCATCCAGGACCCAGGGTGTCTGCTGGGACTCCCCCTCCCGTAGACAACCTCCCCCGGGGGGAGGGCCATGCATGCAGGCCTTGACCACTTTGCCAGGCTCAGGGGCTGCGGGAGACACACCTGCCTCTGCCGACTGCTGGAAGGACCCCTCCCCACACTGCCCTGCGAGTCCCAAGGCTCTGGCATAGATGCTTGGAAAGTGCCTATTTCCACCATGCCAGGGTCAGTATCACACGCCCCCAGGTCCCTCCACTGAAGTTCAGCACAGAAATTACAGGAGAAATAAAAGAACTTCCAGACCTACATCCAACCTCCAGTCCTGCCTTCAACCTGCATCTGTTCCTCTTTGCCGTTCTGCCTCCTTTCCTCTGACACTCGAGGCTCCCCAAGAACTGGCCCCTGGCCAACTGGCAAGGCCACCCCACACCTGCAGGCAAAGATCCACACGAGACCGATGACTGACGCTGTCCCCCCCCACGTCCTCATGACCACCGTTCGCGGCTCTCACAGATGACCGTCGCCTGTCCCCCCAGGACAGCTGTGCATGACATTCACCCAGCATCTGCCATCACCTCCGACTTTCCTCTGCGACCACCACCAGAAGCCATTGCTCCTGACCTTCACATGACCTTCCCCGTGACCCCGCCCGAGATGTTGCCATGGTGGCAGGCAGTGGCTGTGGAGGCACTGGTGGAGCTGAGCGTCCTGCACCGACAACAGAAGAGACAAGGACAGAGGGTGACACCGTTCTTAGAAAGAAATGGATGTGACCTGAGAGTGGGCAACAGAGACCACCACGGCCTGGGCAGGGCAGGTGACCATCACTGGCCCACTGCCTCAACAGCTCCCGGACAGCCACCTGCGGCCTCCTGCAGGAGACGCAGGCCCAGGCCAGATGTGCACCCCCCAGCGCCTCACAGGGACCGAGCCAGGTGCAGGGTCTGAAGACTCTCATGCTCACCACAAGCCCCACCCCCAGCGTCTTCCCTGTGGAGACCTGGGTTAGCTCACAGTGTATGAGGTGCCACGAGACACCGGTACCACAAGACGTCATTTATTGATCTGCGCAATTCCTGGCCAAGAACCACGAGGAAATACGAGACCCTCCGCGCAAAGACCGCTGTGTCCGCGGAGTCACTGGCAGTGAGCAGGACACGCACTTCCACGTCCTTCACCTTTTTTTAAGTAGAGATTTGGGTTTGGGGGCCCAACTCCACCAAATCTGCACACTTGACCCCTCTGGTGACCCAGTCATCCTCCTCCCGATGCCGGTCCTGTGCCTGCTGACCTGCGGCCAGGCTCCGCCTCCCTGAATCTTCTCCCTTACCTGGTGTGGCTGCAGGGGGCAGGGGCGCAGGCCTCTGCAGCATTCCACACTCCCTCTCCCGGTGACGCCCTCTGACCAGACTCTGGAGAGGCAACTTCTCAAAGGCTTCTTGACTTGTGGTGGCGCACACCTGTAATCCCAGCACTTGGGAGCCTAAGGCAGGAGGATTGCCAACAGTGTGAGTTCAAGGCTACATAGGCCAGCTTGAACTACATAGTGAGACCCTGTCTCAAAAAAAAAGTACAAATACTGAAATAAACTCTAAAATCATGCATGATTTTACTATATTAATAAATACTCTCGAGAGTGTTACAAATACACATGCACACAGATGTGCTGGTAAGGCGTGCGTTCCTGGTCTGGGACAGAGAAGTCTTGTTTTGCTATGGTCTAGATGCGTCCTTATCTGCCTAAAGAGAATAAAAGAGGTCAAAACTGCCTGGATATTGGAGTTTCATATGAGAAACAACACTTTGTGGATCTTTCTTTACCGTGCAGTAGACAGAACACAAATATTAAAGTTACAAGCTTTAATATTTACCGGCCGTGTGGAGGAGCGGCCCAGAACTCCTGGTGCCTCACCTCGTTTTAATAGACATCGAGCGCTAAAAAGGGGAGGATTGTTAAGTCGCCATTCAGCTGAGAGCCACGGGGCTCAATATGTTCTCGGGTCAAAAGCACACGTCCTGGAGGAGCGGGCGAGCTAGAACAGTGTCTTCGTTATTAATCCGGAAATTGCATTTTTAGAACTGATATTGTCGACTACATAAGTCCCTACCTTTCCCACAGTGGAAATTTTTCCTCTGAAAATCAGACTTCCCTTTGTTCCCTCCAAGGGCAGTGCCGGCCCTCATGGCAATGGCTGAGTCTTCATGTCCTTCTGCGACCAGCAGCTTAGGGGGCGTGCTCCCTCCAGTGCGTCCCCAGCCATGTCCTGAATAGACGGCCTTGTGGGAAGACAGATGGTCAGGTCATGGGGCAGCGGCTCGGTGGGAGCAGCTGCCACTGCAGAGGGCTCAAGGCTGCGTCCTTCCTTTCCTCAAGGCCAGAGGACATCGGGACAGGAGGGTGAGGTGCGAGGAGTGTCCTCTCCCCAGGACAGGCAGTGGTGTGCGTTGCTCTGGTCTGATTTATTTCCTGAGGAACACAGGTTGCAATGGGCATGTGACCCCCATGTCCAGTAGGACCAGCCAGGGTCCAGCACACTTGCAGAAAGGAAGCTGCCAAGAGGCCACTTTTCTGAGACCACGCCCCCCCAGCAGGCTGTCCAGGGTCCCGGGGGTGGGCAGCCAGGGAGGGTCTCCACCACCGTGGGATGGAAGCCCCACTCCCCAGGCTCAGCGCAGGGCCCGGGGGTCCTGGCTCTGCAGCCCAGATGGACCCTCACCTCACTTGCATCCCAGAGCCAGCAGCAGGGGCCCCCATGTGGGAGACAGCACAGAGCACACAGGCCAGGAGCAGTGAGGCCCCAGGGAGGCTGGAGAAATGAGACCACAGAGAAAGGCCATCCAGGAGCCTGACCCCTGGGGCCCTTGCTGACCACCCAGCACTTTCAGGGACTTCTGACAATGAATGCATTTCAATTTTGCTTCCTTTTCTCAAAAAAATTTATTTTATTAGCACACGTTTGCAGAACGTGAGGTTTGCCTTTATCTAGGGAGTAGGCGGACGCACCAAACACACCTCCGCTGTTCCTCTTCCCCTACCCCCCCCACCCTCTATCTCCAGTCCCTTTCCCATCTCCACTGCTGCTGTCGCTGGCTCGTGTCTGTGACGCGCGGAGCTCACGCCCACTGTGGGTGTCTGTGCCTGTACCTGACACACTCCACACCTTACCACGCCCCATCCTCTCCCGGTCCCCTTCTCATGTGCAAAAGATCTGTCTCCCTGTTTGCTTTTACCGGTCGTTTAGTTTGCTCTTTATTTGTAGTTTCTGTTACTCAAATGAGAAATGGGCCCCTGTGGGCGGCCTGGTTGGGCTCCGGGGTCAAAGAATATGGACAAGGGACCCAAGGCCAGCCAGGGTCAGAGGCCACAGGGACAAGCGGCACGGGTTCCGAGGACTCTCTGGGCTCCCACACAACCTTCGCAATGGTACTACACTGTCCAGTCCCAAGTCAGTGGTCAGAATCCATGCTCTGTGCTGGACATTGCCTGCTGGCCCACACCCTGGGGCCCGCGGGAAACACGCTGCCCCGTGCCCTCCAGGGAGGCTCCCAGTTGCTCAGCTCCGGGCGGCGTCTTGGAAAACAGGTTTCAAGAGCCACAGTCACTTCCGTTCCCACCCTCCCCCGGCACGGTCTCAGGGCCATTCACGGGTGTCTGGCCTGACGCTTTGGAAGCACCCTCCAGGGGTCTGGGAAGCAAGTGCCCTACATCCTTGGGACAACAGCAGTCACCTCTGCGGCTTCCTGGGGCCCAGGCTTCTGTACTTCGGAATAATGAGAAGGCTCGGCCAAAGTCCCAAGGACTTTCTCCACTGTTTTCTTCTAGAGGCTCTATAGTTTTCGTTTCACAGTGATGACCCACTTGGAGTAAAGATTTGCCTGGCGCAAGGAACCGATCGAAGTCCATCTTCTGCTTGAGTCACCAATCTGGAAAGGACAGGAATGTGGCCCACTGACTTGCCCTTGGACATTCATCCAAAGTCAGCTGGCGCACTCCTGAATCCATTCCTGGACTCTCCGGTGTCATTATGCCAAAATCTCACTGTCTCCACAACCGTGGCTTTGTAAAATTGAGCGTGGGAGTCCTCCACATCTGCTCTTCCGTTTCAGGGGACGTGGCTGTCCTACTGCTTTGCACTCTCTTGTGCGTTTCCCAGTGGCAGGTTTCCACAGGAAGTGGGTCTGCGGGGCGTGGCCGGGCCTTGCTCTGAGCCTTGGTAACCCTGGAGAGAGCTGAGGACCCCTCCAGCTTCCCAGG